TACTAGTAATTTTCCACAACTCCTAAACATTTTTGTACGAGGATTAACACTTGTAAGTAGTGGGATGAACAAAATAATGACGTTTTAAAATATAATTATTTATTGAAGATTATTCGCAACATTTAGAATAAAAATTGGTGCCATTATACAACATTTGTGTGTATCACCGAAATGGTGAATGAACTTCTGTTCTTCGGGCATAGTCCCAGTTTTCTAAATTTGTCATTTTCTGGTGGAAGGACATTCGTGCAAGTTTTCTGACAATAGCCACAGCCTGAGGTGCATCTTATACCAGCCTTATGACATCTGTAACATTTTCCACATGCAGCAGTAAATTTGAAGAAGAAAAAAGAACAAAACCCTTCGAAATTGCCTCAGAAGCAGCAGGTTGGTATAGGGTGTTCTACTGCTACATCGACGCCTCGTATCCAAACCCACTCCTAGATGGCGGTTGGTTGCCCAATAAGTTTTACACTTATAAATAAACTGTAAGTATCCTGCAGGGTTGGCCCTCTTGTTGACAAAGATGAAAGATGAAAGATGTTTTCATAGTGTTTGCAGAGTTTAAAAAAGCAGAGCACCTATTGCTGTTCAAGTATTCTTCTCTAATACCATACAGTGCTAAAAACATCTGCTCACCAGCTTGCGACATTGCTTCTGGTGTTGAGGAGGGTTCGTAAAATACAGAGGGTTCCAAAAACAGAATATATTCTCTTTGACACTGGTGGCGGCTGTGATTCTTGCTTTCTATTTAAGTTGAATGTTTTGTAACATGTTCTTACTATTACGTCTGCTCAAAGTGATCCCCATTAGCAGCTAATCAACGTCGATTCCACTGAACTGCTGACCGAGTGAATACATGTTTTGATCCCTCTGTATGTCTGCAATGGCCTTGAGTCTTGAATCTTTTTAAAATAAATTCACTATTTGTGATACACTTTCTCTATGCACATATGAAGTGGTGTCTCATCCCCCGAGCCCCAGGATGAAAATATTTTCTGGAAAAATTCAGTTTCTTTTAATTTCAAGCAACAACATGTTCTGCCTACATTTTCCTTCTCCCTAGTTTGTCGAAATATAAATTGGTTTCCGTGAGAGATGTTATTAATATGACGAATCAATTAATATCTTAGCCCATAATTGATATATTGTCCTTAGGTGCTTATTTATGAACTTCACATTGCACAATGAAAGCATCACCCTCAGCTATTCATGTTTCTGTGCCCTCCCTGGTCATTATATGATACAACAGTTTTACCCCCTTCCATTTTTCTCTTAACAGTAAAGTGTTCTTGCTATACTATGCCCGTAGTATCTTCATCGAAATCCATTAAGAATGATATAAGAATGATTTCAGAATATATAATGGCCACGCAATGACCCTGCAATGGCCCCTGAATATGCAAACAAAACGCTATTAAACGATTATCCGAGTCCCGATTAACCTAATCAGTTATAAGAAAAAACAAGAAAATAATTGATTGAAAATCGGTCAATGACGTCCGCCTGCGATTCCGGAAATAACATTTTACCCAATTCCATAATCGTCGGATCCCCTGGCCAAATACTGAATGTGCTGTTCGTCACCGTTATCAGTTTTAGTTGACTTTCTGTGAGGGCGTTACAACCATTTATATTGCTTTTTTTGTAATTTGTATTCTGAAGTCTACACAATCCTTTAGAAAGTAATTCTTATCAAATAAACTACGGATTATCAGAGCATTACGAAATTGAGCTAATTTCGGATCCAATGACCTTCGCAAGTCTACTGTACAAACTACGCTTTTAAAATAACGAAAAATATTTGTTTTTTCGCAAAATAAGCAAATGTAGACTGTTGATAAAAGTTGAACAAAAACTTCCTTGCATTGAACATACGTAAATCATTACAAAGGAGAAAACCAACACAAAGTCTTGTCCCACGTAAACACTAGAACATTTAGAACCTATAACATCAACAGGCTTAATTCTACAAAATATTGTAGAAACTTTTTGTACAAAATTGTGTCTTCTTTAATTTTGTAGGAATATAATTTCCGGTAGGGTTCTTGGTCAGCGCGGTCGCTTTCCACTACGCGGCCTCGGGTACAAGTCCCGGTCGAGCCAAGAATATAGTGTGTATTTTCCTTGCAATGTCCCAGTGTATGTTGCTATGTGACGTTGAAAAAAATCACTTTTCAGGTTGAGAAGCCCGGAATACGGCGTGGGGATGTCTACGTGCTAACCACTATGTCTACGTACCCCCTTAATGCATGCCCGCGAGGCAGGGACGTCGCTGGTAGGCCTGGGCCCGTTCTTGGGCTATCGCGACAAACACATACATACAGAATTTTCGGTAGAATATATAGTTACGGAGATGTATGCGAAAAATCGTCAGATAAAAACCACCCTTAAACGGCTCACCCCCCACACTTCAGGATTTTTAGTATGAAATATTGTAGATACGATCACGCCAAATTTCAAAACACTGACATTTATTTCATTTTATAACCATTTTTGGTCTAATCTGACTGGGCTAAGCAGCCCGTACTTCTTCGCACAACTTGTAACGTGTACGTAATATAATACTAGAGTGTTTTTGCAAGTCGTGGATTTGAAAGACGAAAGACGAACGACGAACGACAATTCTAGGTAGAATTTGCACTGCGCCGGCATCAAATGACGGGATTTCGATTGACGGGTCCCGTCAATCTCCCTGTTTTGTCGTCTACGACAAACTTACACTTTACGTAGTTTTCATCGCTACCACTAAACACGATATCAACACTAACGCACAATGAGCATGCTCATTGTCATGCTCATGCATTTGCCATTTATTCCATGCATGGAAGAAATGACAAATGCTATATCCGTCGTAGTACCAATATAAAATAGCAAAAACTTAATGGTTAATATTTCTCTAGTTAATTCAAATATGTCAGGAATAAACTAACGTAATTGTTTTCGATTTGAGATTATGTATATCAGGCTACATTGATTGTTACGAAAAAATATGTATCCTCATGGGGTTGACATTGCCATACATTTCCAATTCAGAATATAAACAATGTAAATATATATTAGTAGAATTACGGGGTTACATTCTAAGACTATCTAGGAAACTATAGTTATCTTTGGGAATAAAGACACGTATTACATATTCATATGATACAATCAGATTTCGTCTATTATACGTTTTACTACATTGTAATGCTTATAAAAGTAAATGGTCAATAAAAGCTTTTAGATCCGGTTAGAGATATATTCAGTTTCAAGTTCTCCTAGTTTTAACGTATGCTGTCGATTGTACGACTTGCAAAAACTCATTTTTCTGAAGATACGTGATTTTCTATTGACAATGTTTACGTACTACGACAAAGGATTTCTCGTCTTGCAAAAACTCTCTACTATTCCAACCCACTAGCTTATCTACACCGCAAAAACCTTTTGCCATGCTGGGATTAGAAAGCAGGTCCTTAGAATTAGCGAGCAAGAACAACTACGCCAACCGAACGATTTGGCATAACCTTTCCAAAGCTTTTAAAAACAAAGTTGAACTTTCGCGGTTTTCAAAAATTCAACGACTTCAATGGACGAAGAGTCCTTTGTAAGCGTATTTTCCTCTATTAGAAGAAAAACATTAACGAAAAAATAGCGAGTCAATTTTCATATAATTTTCAAAATATTGTTGAGAATGTCTCTAAGGATCCGTATAAGGGCAACGATTAGAAGAAGTAATTTACATACATACAGGAGCAAGAATTGTCTTCTTTTCCGATATTACAAAAGGATTCCATAAAACGGGTTTTGTGAGCGTTTTCGCAGAAGCATTACACAATTTTGTACTATGTAGCAGCATACGAGAAAGTAAAATAAGGACCCCTAAAAAGTGGATCTGACTGCAGTATGAATCCGTAATCATCGTTTTCTCGATATCACAATCCCATCGAAAAAGCAAGTTTTTTTGTTGAAATATGGCCGGTTTCGCTGCAGCATTACAATACTTTCATTATTCTATATAAGTAGTACACGAGAAAGTAAAAAGAGAGGATAGAGAGACGGGGATTACCAGCAAGTGGGAGAGAGAGAGAGACCCCAAGAGAGAAGGGAGAGAGAGAGAGAGAGAGAGACCCCAAGAGAGAAGGGAGAGAGAGAGAGAGACCCCAAGAGAGAAGGGAGAGAAGAAGAGACCCCAAAGAGAGAAGGGAGAGAGAGAGAGACCCCAAGAGAGAAGGGAGAGAGAACCCAAGGGAGAGAGAGAGACACCCAAGGGAAGAGAGAGAGGACCCCAAGTGGGGAGAGAACCCAAGAAAGAGAGAGACGCAGAAAAGAGAACCAAGAAGAGGAGAACCGAAGAAAGAGGCTGAGAAAGACGAAGAAAGAGAGAGACCGCAAGAAAGCGAGAGAACGAGAAGGAGACCGCAAGAAAGAGAGGAGAAGGGAGCCAGCAAGAGAAGGAGCAGAAAGAAGAGACCAAGGAGAGCGACGAAGAGAGAGACGCGCAGAAGACAAGAAAAAGACCGCAAGAAGAGAGAGACCGCAAGAAAGAGAGAGAACCGCAAGAAAAAGGAGAGACCGCAAAAAGAACAAGAAGAGAGAGCCGCAAGAAAGAGAGAACCGCAAAAAGAGCAGAGAGACCGCAAGAAAGAGAGAGACCGCAAGAAAGAGAGAGACCGCAAGAAAGAGAGAGACCGCAAGAAAGAGAGAGGGGGGGAGATGGGGGTGCTAGATATTTTGTTTGTTCTTTACTCGTATCAACGGAAAGTGAAATTTTTTTTTAAAAAAAACGAGAAACAGAATGGATGCTTCACGAAAAAGGTTGAAACTTTTCATAATGCAATAACAATTGCCATGAAGCATTTAAACTGAACCAACTACAGGTAACTGCATATATCGGAAAACTTGCAATAACTGAGCTCCGCAATGCTCTGAGAGAGCAGCGAACGCCATCCAATGCGAAGATCCCGTGGCCGAGCGTGTCGTTGCTGCCGCGACGGCAGTTGCTTTGGAAGGCTACCTACCTCAGCGTTCTTGCCGTCTGCGGGGGCGGGGGAGGCGGCCGTGGCGTCCATCTCCTGTCGGGCGCGCCGGCGCAGGGCCTGTCCAGCGCGGTTCACCCACAACAGTAGCCCGGCCTCGTGGTCGGCCGGCAGCGCCGCCTCCGGCTCCTCCGCCGCCCCCGCACCGTGCTGCGGCCCGAAGCGCTGCACCGCCACCAGCACCCGGTCGGGCGTCACCACCTCCTTGGCGTACAGCGCCATCAGCGCCTCGATCACCGCCATGTGCGCGCTCTGGGGGACGCACAAACCAGGCACGCCGTCAGAACTCGTTCTAGCTTCGGAGGGAGAGCAAGTCCAAGTACCGTCCTGGTCCCAAATTCACCTTCCTGGGCAGTTAGCGATTCCAACGCGACTTCCGCGGGATCACCATCATTTGATTTCGCAACTTATCGAAATGACAGCTGAATGTAGCCGGTAGTCTTTAGTAACCAATAACTCTGTACAACTGAGTCTGAAAACAACCAGACGTGAAAGAAAAAACCCGTCGTTCCTGCACGCTGTTCCCTCTAACGGTCATTGAAAAGAGGCGCAGTCGCATTGGGAAAAATTACTTTAAAGACAGAGGAAGACTACGGCTTGAAAACAGGTGATGCAGCAATTTTTGACAATCCACTTGCGTCCCAACTATCCACACTAAATATAAAAAATATAAAATTATATATAAACCCATATCAAAACCAAGAACATGTGGTAAAGAAATTGGGGTAAGGGTTCCGACGCTGAAGAAAGCGTGTAATATACGATCACATATCATGCCTGTGTGTAATCCGCAAGGAACAAGCCGCGGGCAGAGGGGATGGACATTAGGACAGACTAGAGTCCGTAGACAGTGAGTAGCGAATTCTGCCTGGACGCCGCTAGTAATATCCTTTCACCCGATAACCCAAGAGACTAAGGGGAATGGCAAAATTGAAAGCATAGAAGAGGGATTCGAATATTATTCACGCCAAGTTTGCTTGAGCCCCGGACTCCATTCCCCTACTTCTTTTACCAACATTCGTTGAATAGAGGAAAAGATAGCAAGGAGCGTTGTTGACAAGATCTGGCGGCTAAAATGTATGTAGTAGACACTATTTTCCACCGAAAAACGAGCTACATACTTGATATAACACTCGTGCTATCGATTTAGACAGCCCCCCACTCCTCTCACATCTGGCGAAAAGAAGGCTCAAGAAAACGTGCGTGGATAATACATTAATAATGGTTTAGGGTAGGTTGTTTAGTTTGGTTTGGGTAGTTACACAATTGTGGTTAAAAACACTTAAGAGAAGAGTCCTCCTTAGAAAACAAATGGTATCAATAACTCATTTTTCATTTTTTGAGGGTTAGACAAGTATTCTGATCAGCCCTTCAATTGCAAAAATTGAAGTCATAGAAGACAGATTCGAGTACATTAATACTGGTTCAGGGTAGACTGGTGGCTGACACACAGTTCGAACTCTCTTGTCAAGTACACAACGAAACGGGATGGGGCGGGGCGGGGCGGCGCTTGCGTTCGCGCTCCTCACCAGGCGCAGCGGCGTCGTCTGGATGAGCACCGTCTCCGTGAGGCGCGCGTCGGGCGGTTCCGCGGCGAACACCCCCTTGCGGCCCAGCGCCTGCAGCACGCCCCAGTGGTTGAGGTTGTGGTAGTTGGGGTCCGAGTAGATGTTGGCCAGCGCCAGGCAGTACAGCTCGGCGCTCGCCAGCGCGTGCACCACCTGCGGCTTCAGATGCTCCTGGTCCTAAGGCACAAGACACCACACCGCACCGCTCGAGTCACGCACTTAGACAGCGAATGCAATCAGCTAAGCGCTTCTATTTGCGCTTGGTTTGTGTCACTGTCGTCATGGTAGCAGGCGTCAACGTCTACAAGAATGAAGTTATATACGTCTTCCGTCAACAGTGCAACCGGTTTATTTACTTTTAACATTTCAATTTTTAGTTCAAGGATCACGTAGTTACCTTTCTTATTACTACGAGTTTATTATTAAAAATAAAAGTGGGAAAGCAATTAAAAATTTCACTTAAAATTCAAAATATCTTAGTGGCCGCTTTACTCTGATCACCAACGAACTAGTAAAAAATAATCGCAGTCCTGATCAATTCTCTCATGAGGAAAGTATTTCGAAGTCCTCTGTTGTTACAGAATTCTTTAAATATCACTTACTCTCGCAAATAAAAATACGAAGTCAGAACACTGCCCCTCTTGAAATTACAAACACTATTTCAATAGCTTACATCTGAAGAGAAATTCACAGAAAACTCCACATACTTATTTTTTAAATTTTTTAAAATTTTCTTTCAGTGGAACACACACTGGGTAATCCAGCGCGAAACAGTTCGGTTTCGTGTTCAGTTTTAAATAATTTCTCATTTAGTTACATTATTAAAATATATCTTACAATGAACATTTGCAAGAACACATTTAATCGCCACGTCAATAATTCGTCACGAGAGTTTGTTACTTCTAAAATAGAATGTGTTTTGATTGTGTATTGTGTGTGTGTGTGTGTGTGTGTGTGTGTGTGTAAATACGGTTTTTGTAAAGGGGTCGTTGTTGAAGCAAATTGTCGAGAGATGGCAAAATGTACATAGAGATTTTGATAATGATGATTTTTAAAATGAAACCAAAAATTATCTTTAGAATTAAAGAGAATGAATTGCGTTATATTCATAATAATTAATTGTTCATATGGAAATTTTATTTTGTTGCATCATGTTTGACGGGTTGCTCTAGTTATATTTGGAAGGGATAATGTATCTTCATGAACATTAACTTCTCGCTTTCCATCCGCAACCGAAATGGGGATTTGAATAAATGTATTACAATGTTTTGAGTCCTTATTTATGCATGCAACGCATCCACGAAGCTTTAACAATCCGATTTATTCTTTTAGGTCAAATACTGAATCGATTAAATAAGAAGGTTAAGTCAAAACATGCCTTTGCATATTGTGTATCAAGAGGAAAAACTCAAAAATCACCCATTAAATGAGAAAACACTAAGTCGTATTGAATAATCAATATTGCATTTATTTATAACCAGAGCTAGGATTTGTACAAATTACGTAATCGTTTATTCATTAGTTACAACAAAACGTTTGACATATATTTACGAATTGAGCTTTTTGAAATGATGTGACATTTTTACATTTTAATGGAAAACTGGTATATTTTAAGAGAATTCTACATTTTATACACAGAAAGTTCCATTTTATATTCTTTCGAAATAATCCTTGGAAGATTATTTTTAACATTTAGTGGAATTTTCAGTGGTTTAGATGTAGTTCCAGATTGAACTTCACAAATCTCAAGGTTCAAGATTGTTCCATTTTTTCTGATTTTGAGAGGAGATAAAGGTAGTTCAGTATAAATATTAAAAGACTAAAAGGCGAACTTTCAGATTTAAAAATTTTAAAACAGTGCTCTCAAACCCACTGCCTGGTACTTGCTTACTTGTCAGAAAGGATTACAGACATTACTTTCAGAGAAGAAAAATATCTGGGGCATTTTAGAACAAAAAATATATTAAATATTTTTCTATAACTAATATTAAAAATAGGTAGGAGCGTGTTTCGCTCTATTCCACAAAAAATTAAATAAAAACTGCTAGAAATTTCCAAAAATTGTACTTGGCCTTATTTAAAGTTCAAATTTTAACATATTTAATTAAGGAAATCTGTTAATATTATAGTTTACAGCAGACATCGAAAAAAGAATTGAAATTTTGCTGCTTTCAAAAGTTTAAGAGTCGAAAGATAACATTGTGTAAATTTTAAGGTTTCGAATCTGTTTCAAATTTAAGGCACCGCGAGATCAGCCACATCTATTGGGAATATTAATTTTGGTAAAAATCTTACACTTTTTGTAGCAGCATTTCAGAACGAATACACAGCAGGCAAGAGAGAAAATACAAATCTTGAATTTCATTTACATTTATCTCTTAATTTTAGAATATGGACTACGTCAAGTTGGAACTCTAACATACCTCTTCAAAATAATTCAAAATTTTCTTAGTAATCGTAAATTCTGTGTAAAAATGAATCATACGTTTTCAAAACTATTTTCAATATTTGCCAGGGTGCCTCAAGGACCATCTCTGCCACTCACCTCTTTTTGATATCTATCCTCATGACATTTCCACTTTCACTAATCCAGATTTAGCCCTCTTTTCTGATGACGCAGCTCCCTTCCTCAGACATAAAATTATTTCAACTGCCAGATATAGATTACTATTAAACCTACTTCTTTTTACTTATTGGGCTGCAAACCGGCAAATTAGAATCAACATGACAAAATGTAAACCATTTTTTTTACGCTTCGCAAATCTATCATTCCATTTGAATTATTATGCAATCAAACCATACTTTGGAGTCCCTCCAACACTCCGATCAAATACCCTGATCTCTTCTAAGATACAAAACGTACATCGAATTTACACATAACAACCTACTTGTAAAAGTGTAATTCGTAAAATTTACGTTAAAATACATGAACTCCACTCTACTATACACTACAAATCTTTCTTCATTTAATTATTGCCCAAGCAATATAATATATTCTTCCTACACTTATGCATGCCTGTTCCGTCAGGTCCAACCTCACATTAATAAAATTTAGATACTCCAAAATAAAATCTTCTGTGGGCGAATGGTTCCACCATATAACATTGGCAATTTTCAATGTTAAGCCTACTATAACCACTTGTGAAAAAGATATGAAGGTCAATTATTTCGAATTTTGTAAAAAAAAAAAATTGACACTTTTCCCTGGCGTTTTTTTCTCAGTGTTTATAGGGTCTTAAGCAGACGTTCGCGCTAGGGACATGCCAAGTTTGCGAGCCTGAAACTAAACCTCTTTTTCTCCAGGAAAGCAACTGTTCAGGTACTCACCTCATGATCCCGGTAGAAGGGCTCGCGCAGGTTGTCGGGCACTCGGTTGTTGTACGCCTTCGACAGCAGCCACTTCACGGAGGCGCGCTGCTTCGCCTGCAACCCACAAACAAAAGCGATCAACACCACTGCTGATTTTTTTTTCTTTTCCGGATACTCGAGACCTGAAAAGTCGGGTATTGCAACGGGCCAAACCCGCCCATATTTATTCAAGTACTTATGTCAAACGGGTATTGAGGTAGCGGTTGACAGTATCATTCTGGATTTTGATACAGAAGAAGGGGGATGCCGTTTAAGTTTGTAATTTGAAATGTATGCTCAAGCGCACAATATTACTATAAAATAAACGGAATATGTCATAAATGTTACGAACAAGCCTAGTAAGGCAGTAAAACATCTCTGGTACACACTTTACGCTCTCCTAAGTTTTTTACGTAAATCTGCAGAGCTGAATATAAGATTCCAACCCGGGTATCAGTCACCGAATGGTGTTGGAATTATTTCTGTCAACATATAGAGAGTCTTTTTCTGACACCTTAAGTGAGGGTCTGGGCCAGCAGTTGCACACCTTTCGTGCTACTTGGGCCCATTCCGGTGAGTTGGTATGACGCTAGATGTAAAGACAGAACGAAGATACAGAGATTTTGAATTCGCGTCGACTCGACTTTTTTAATGTACGTCTGAAATAAAAACTTCATAGTTTAAAAAACTGTATTATATTTAGGGATTACTGGATACAATAATTAAAAAATGTTAGTTCCCAGAGGTTCGCTATAACCGGAGTCGACTTTATATACACATACAAACTCATTGGATCAGAAAGTATGGTGAATCTAATAAAATGGCACTTCCCCACATTCAACACTTCCTAGCAATAATACCTAAAGACGTCGATTGCATCACCTACGTGGAATGTTTACATACGGCATCCTCGGTAGCCTCCTCCAACCAGGAATGCTAGAATACGCCAACTGGGCTACATCGCTTTTCCAACGAAGTTGTAAGAGTACTTGCATCTCTAAGGTGCTTTCAGGTATGCAACAAAGTATCTCTGACGCAAACAATCTCCACCAAGAGCAACCACCATGATCCTGGTTGGATCTATATCATACAAAACTGTAAATGAAAAAGGAGTTTGTGGGAGATCAAATGATGACCGATGGAATCACCAATGGCGTGTTTATTATTTACTCTTTGAGAGATAAGTGAGACAGAGCAGCAATTCGTGCACTTCGTTTTCCCTTGGAGCAAGTGCGCGTTCTATTTGTTTTTGGTTTGTGAAAATTTGTTTTTTGGGATTGCCGGTGTATTTGCCATTCTTGCAGCATCATCGGATTTTCGTTATAGCACGATACAAATAAACGTGAGTGGAGTGATGCCTCATGAGCTTAATAGTCTTGCGCGTCCCATTGCCTAATAATGACGAAACCCAATGATTAATTACAATACATTAATCTACTCAATTACGCTAAAATCATTTTGTAAGTATTGCCTTCATTTAACCTACCACAATTTTTAATGTACTTTTCTTGACGATAATTTACTATTTGTTTAATCACATCGTCAGACACCTTCATTGCTTTCTGTTACTTAACATGCGATTGTTGATTTTTTTATTGGGTAATTTTTATTTGTTTTGTATCTGTATCCCAAATGAACGTTAATTCATTATATTAGGATTGTTATTTGTTATAAATCGTGCTATTTTCTGTGTATAGAAGTATTAATGTATATGATTGTCCCTGGACTATCGCTCATTTACATTTTGAGTCCTGTTTCAATCATTGAGAACCAATGCCTGGGGGAGCCACAATTCCAAGAACTCAAATTACTGAATCTTTTGTCCTGATGACCTGACTTCGACAACTGCTGACTGTAACAAATGTACTGACTTCATTTTATTATCTTCTAAGATTTGCAGTTCAATTTATGTCACTTTTCGTGAATAATTTTACGCCAAAACCCCTTTTTGTATTATATTAATGTCTAACGTTACTCTATTATTACTTCGTTTTAATTGGATAAATAGTAGGCAAATTTCATTCTCAACCTTTCATTTCATTTTTATTTGGACCTTTCATTTTCTAAATCCAATTCATTCATTCTTTTTGTTTATCTTAGTTCTCACTAAAGAGAGTTTTCAGAAGAGTACACACTTTTAACTTTAATGTCTTGCTTAGTGTTTCCTACATATCAATTGAAAGTTTGCTTGTACCTGCCTAGTTACTGCAACTGTGCGTCTGATATTCAATGTTTTAAGCACATAATCTCTAATAAGAATATTGTAAAAATTGATTCTAGTCATGTCTAAAAGATTGTGAGAAAATTCAAGTGAATGCTGATTGCTTCTAGGTTTGTATTCTGGTTTTGTACAATTTCATAAGAAATTCAATTAATAATGTTCTTTCATAATCTTTCACTATCATTTGTTGCATCCTTGATCCTGAAGATTTTTGCGATCCTGAAAATCCAAGTGATTGTTTCACAGCAACTGATAGATTTTGGAAAGTAGACATTTGTTAAATGCCATGACACTATTTTGTGTGTACAAAAAATAGTGATTTTGAAATAGTGATATTTTTGTTTGATAAATCAATTACCTGCTCAATAGTAGAGGATTAAATGACACAATGTCTAGTAAAGCAGATATATATTTATCATTTCAAATGCTATTTTTCTGGTAATCCACAATGTAATCTGAAATTAAAAACCACTACTGAACTGCAAGTTGTATTTCACTGATTGATCTTTTACCTATTCCTGTTTATATTTATTCCTTATGATTAAACCATAATCTTAGCTCTTGCCATTTATGATTAAGAATCCCTTGGGTACCTAATCCTACAAATTCAATACCATTACTTGGTTTCGGTAGTAGTAATAAAGTGCAGCCCTTGCCCTTAATTGGATCTTACTACGATAATAATAATAATAATAATAATAATAATAATAATAATAATAATAATGTATAGAGCGACTCAATAGAGAGAAATAATACAATATAAAGCAGTTCAATACGCATTAATTAATAGGTGAAGGCAGTTAATTTTCTACACACTGCTTTAGAGGCTAAGAAAAATAATTTAATTCTGAACTCCCGCTTAAGAGGTGAAAATGAACGAGATTGACACATACAGTAAAGGAAGTGGTGTACAAGAGAGGAGACGTCCGTATAGTCGACAGTGGCGCTCCCAGTGTGCGCGGGCATAGTTTGATCATCCGGCATCTTAACATGGGTTTTGCCTCTATGTGTAGGTGCGCTGTGGTTTATATTATACACTATCTGGAGTACCCCGCGTTGCTGGAGTATTAATCATAATAATATATCAGACAAGAAGAGGTATTCCATCTATTCCCGCCCTGCCGGGGAGCCAACTTGTATCAACTTTATTGTATTCCCGCTCCGTCTTACCCAACCTCTCTCTGCCTTGCTCCTACCTCGAATAACCCTGCCTTCCTCACTCATTTTCTCACTAAAATGTTTATATATTTTTAAATTGGGTTACCCGATTCCAAACTTGACTCGCTTTATAACTAAAAATAATACACAAATCTAAACAAAAAAATAAAATACATGTACTCCCATATTACTCGTGGAATTTTATATATTACACACATACTTTCAATAAGTTACTACGTTGTAAAATACTTTGTTTTGCTTATTTTTTCTTCTCGCGTATTCATAGAGAAAAAAATTGAAGTTGATCTTTGACCCCATGCCAAGACAATTTAAATATAAATAAAATTATTTTAATTGAATTGGAGTACGCGTTTTCTGGTTCTTGATACATAGCTGACGGAAAGTGCCATTAACCACTTAGGCAGTTATAATATTTCCAAAAATCCGAGATCACACAGTGGATCCCGACTTGACCAAAGTTTTTCTGTTATATAAAAGTAACTCTTTTTGTTTTATTTTTAACATCCTTGAAAACAGTGATGATAGACATGCAATTCCTTCCGTTTCACATTACTCTTTTACTTCATACTTCTTGCCGAACTTACTCATATCAATTTCAGTAATTAATCATTCACCACCCAAAGGTACACTTTCTCCACTACAATAAAAATCTTCCTTACAAAAATTCATCCATAACAATTTCAGCATAACACGTAAATCATTCACATTACTTATATTTCACTTTAATCACGTAACTCGCAAAAACGTAATAGTCATAGGTAATACGAGTGCTTTGGAAATTGTTTAAACGCCGACTCGCGAGGCGAGGAGGGGATTTATCAGAGAATTTACAAAGCACGACTAGTATTTAATAGGGCTATTCCACGAGTGAAATTATGTCCAACAGATTTCCAAAATGCGCCAAATATTGAAAATATGTTAAAGTCAAAGATGTCATTTTATAATATATAGGTGGTATATTGGACATCGACAAGCGATCAATGTATACTGCCTCCTAAGATAGAGGAGTTACGGTTTATGATTGGCCAGAAGGGAGAAGTGGTAAGAAAATCTGTTAGAAAAAGCAATACACTTTTTGAGATACACCGCCCTGATTGGGGCATTTTGTATGTATAGTTAAACACCATTTGTTATAATTTCACGAGTGGAATAGTCATATACAACTAAATCAATCACTTCATGTAGAACACATGTATGCATGCAAAGTTTTTTAGGACAATATCAAACATCAGGTAAATGACGTTTTCCAATCATTTCATAGTTCTCACTTGTACACTTAATACATTCACACCGAGACGAAAATAAAACCAATATCCAACTTACTTTTATAAATAAAGTGAAGACAAATAGCCAGAATCATTCTTAAATATGAACATTTCGAATTAAAAAATTGGCGGTAAAATCAATATACAGTCCTCGCAATTCCAATGGGTACACAATTCTGTGGATTGATGAACTCAATCGTACATCTCACTCCTCATTCTCAGGTGGAGCGTGGAAAACTTGCACATTGACACACTCTTGAATCTGCGATGTAATGCCGGGCGAAAAAGGTCCAAAAAAGTAATTATTTTGTGAATATATGAATTTTATGGTGGTAAATGATAGCCTATAGTACTCCAGACCTTTAAAAGAAGCTAGCACAAAAGTTTCACCGGTATTGCTTCTGTAGATT